TTCAAACACATTATCAAATTTTTGATCACTTCTAATGTGATTAAAATTCAAGAAATTTACAAAATTCAAACGTCCAAACTTCTTCAAACACATTATCAAATTTTTGATCACTTCTAATGTGATTAAAATTCAAGAAATTTACAAAATTCAAACGTCCAAACTTCTTCAAACACATTATCAAATTTTTGATCACTTCTAATGTGATTAAAATTCAAGAAATTTACAAAATTCGAAAGTCCAAACTTCTTCAAACACAATTATCAAATTTTTTTATCACTTCTAACGGAATTACAATTTTTTGCAAAATTCAAACGTCCAAACTTCTTCAAACACATTATCAAATTTTTGATCACTTCTAATGTGATTAAAATTCAAGAAATTTACAAAATTCAAACGTCCAAACTTCTTCAAACACATTATCAAATTTTTGATCACTTCTAATGTGATTAAAATTCAAGAAATTTACAAAATTCAAACGTCCAAACTTCTTCAAACACATTATCAAATTTTTGATCACTTCTAATGTGATTAAAATTCAAGAAATTTACAAAATTCAAACGTCCAAACTTCTTCAAACACATTATCAAATTTTTCTCTCACATTTAAGGTGATTAAAATTCAAAGAATTCGCAAAATTCGAAAGTCCAAACTTCTTCAAACACATTATCAAATTTTTGATCACTTCTAATGTGATTAAAATTCAAGAAATTTACAAAATTCAAACGTCCAAACTTCTTCAAACACCATTATGAAATTTTTTTATCACTTTTAACGAAAGTACCATTCAAGGAATTTTTGCAAAATACAAACGTCCAAATTTCTTCAAGCACCATTGCCAATTTCTTTCATCACTTCTAATGGAACTACACTTCAAAGTTTTTTTGCAAAATTCAAACGCACAAACTTCTTCAAACCCCATTACCAATCTTTTTATCACTTCTAATCTAATTATAATTCAAGGAAATTGTGCAAAATCCAGTTTAACACCGAAACAGATTCTTTCCAACGAAATAAATCTTCCACGCAAGTCTTCCATTAACGTCGTTATCGTTGATTCAGTCGCGAACCAGAAAATTACGCAGGAATAGAAGGAAATGAAACAGTCGTGAAAATAGTAACAGGTCAACGTTTCGTTGCACGTAGAGCTACGTTTCGCGTGAAAAACCGCAACGATGTTGTCACAGTAAGTTCATAGAAGAGCGCTGACTAACACCGCGGTTTTCTACTGAATGTGTTCGTCTGTCTGCTGCGTAAATATACACTGGGATTAGAAGCATTACAGACAGTCGTTGGAGGAACCCTGAGATTATTTGTCCCGGAGGAACGTATACACTAATCCCATGGTCATTTCGCGATATTATCACTGTCCGTTGCATTAGCCACGTAAAATTACCCTAATACCACTAAATCTTCGACTCACGGTCCTCTTTCGAAAAATTCCATACACCGATCAGACGGCAGCGAACGTCGAAATATCTGAAATTCCTGGTAGTACATAGCTTTACGGCGAAATAATAGCAAATAAAAACATGCAAATAATTCTAGCCGGAAAAAAAAACTGTCTAGGAATTTTGAGGAAAATAAACGAGGAACGAAGAAGAATTTAGAAAACAAGTGTTTTCTTTCCGTTCGATAAAAATTCTCAGCATTCCGAAATCCAGCGTAATTTATTCGCATAAACGTGTTATTTTGTGGTAACTGATTGTCCAAAATATTTCCCTGTTAGAAAAGCTGTCAGCGATGCAAATTATTTTGCAAAAAAAATTTCCAATTAAATCAAACAAATTGAAGCAATCAATTTTTGATTGTACACAATTTTCTTGGAGCTTCGAAACGGATTTTACCAGCAACGCCTATTTTTTTACCCTTCGAAATACACTACCGGCCAAAAGTTCGGAATCACTGTGCACTGCAAGTTACACAAAAATTCGCAGAAAAAAGTCAGCAGCTTTAAGAATTTTTTTAGCAAATTTTGTATCATTCAAATCAATCGATACGAGATAAATTGCTGTTTATCTTCACAATATCAATATCAAGCCTATGAAAAATTAGTAGCAGATTCAGTACTGATGAAAATTCAGAGGTGATTCCAAACTTTTGGCCGGTAGTGCATACTCTAAAATAATTTCAGCTGTTTTAATACAAGACGTTTCAACGAAATTAAACAGCTCGAAGTAATCGTATGTTTGATTACACGTCGTTTGCGCAATAGAATTGAAGATCTTATCAGCAACGTTCAATTTAGTACAAATTCTTCTTTTTCCCTGTCGTTAGAAATACGCTGTAAAATAATTCCGGATAATTTTATCGCTGAAATGGAAAAACATAAACAGGTGTATGTACGTAACACGCGTGTTTTCACCGAAGGATCGGGTTATTAAGCGAGGTAACGCGTTTTCCAGTGCGTGCAAAGTGCGTTTAGCGCGTGTTGCTGAGTTCATCGTGGCGAACGAGGCGAATCTTTCTTTCTTCTTTCGTAGATGACGAGCGCGCGGCGGGTCGCGTTCGTAAAAACCGACTCTCACGAAGCCAACCAGGCTATGCAAAGTTTCTTCGCTTTCGAAAGCGACTTTAATGAAACGACACACGGACGATCGGCGGGAGAAATTTCTGCGTTTCGGAGAGAATCAGCACGAAACAATATTCGTCGCTAAGCCGAAGAAATACAACGACTCATGCTAATGATATTCGGACACTCTTTGGAACAGTGTAACATTTTTAAAAATTGAACCTAACGACTTGACCATTTTTCAGAAGTTAGAAGGATTAGTATACCAGGTGACACGTGCAACAAATTTGGGGAAAATTGCAATTTGAGAGAATTGGGAAGAAATTTGCGAAGACTGCTGTTTGCAACATTTTTGTCTGAGCTTGTGGTGAAAATTTAAAATATACCTTTTGTAGATCTATGTCAGGAAGTTAGGATTAGTACACTAGATGACGTGTGCAAAACATTTGGAAAAAATTGCAATTTGTGAGAAGAAAATTGTAAAGGTTACTGTGTACAACTTTTTTATCTGAACTTGTAACGAAAATTTAAAATATACGTTTTGTAGATTTATGTGAATTAGACGCGTGCTGAAAATTTCAAGGAAATCGGTTGACGGAGAAACAAGCGACAGGCATCGAAAGACGTAAGAATCTTCAGATTTGTGTACAGTTATACAGGGTGTCCCGTAACTCCTCGAACACCCGGAAATGGGGGGTTGCTGGGATGACTCTGAACAACTTTTTCCTTTACCAAAATGTTGTTTGAAGCTTCATTTTTGAATTATTAAGGAAAAACACTGGCCAATCAGAGCGCGCGTAGAGCCCGCGCTCAGGGACGGAGAACAGAGGCTCATTCGCGCGCGATTCCGACTGATTGCAATTTTTTCAAAAATTTATACAAACGTGGGAATGACGGAAAAAAACCACTTCTCTAAGCCTTATAAAAATAGCGGTGCATTAATAATTCAAAAATGAAGCTTCAAACAACATTTTGGTAAAGGAAAAAGTTGTTCAGAGTCACCTCAGGAACCCCCCATTTCCGGGTGTTCGAGGAGTTACGGGACACCCTGTAGACCGAAAGTCGTGAAACAGTGAGATTTTAGCAACATTAACCGATTTCGATGAAATTTTAAGCGTGTGTATAATTGTCATAAACCTACAAAACGTATTTTCTAAATTTTCATTACGAGCTCAGATAAAAAAGTTGTTAAATGTGATTCTTTACAATTCCCACAAATTGCAATTTTTTGCACACGTCATCTAGTACACTAATCCTTCTCATTTCCAATTTAAAAAAAAGTTATACCGTTCTCTAAAGAGTGTCCGAATTGTAAATTCGCGCGAATTTGAATTGCTACAAATAAACATGGAGCAATCAGACCTTTTTTTTCTAACTCGTTACACGAGCGTACTCCTAATGCAACCTTGAGTTGCAATGATTGCGTTCGAGACAACGTTCTGATGACTTTTAGACGCAATCTGCGTGTAATCAGCAAGTGATATAGCTAATAATACAGAATTACACGCGGTCAATATCGCGGATAGTATCGAATCGTGACTGGATAGATTTCAATTCAGAATGAGTAATTTTGAAGGATAATGGAAGTAGGAGTTAGAGTAGAATCGAATCGCGAAGAGATACGTTTGAATTTTACATAAATTATTCGATAATAGTTAACGATAATATTTATAAATCTAACGGGAATCTGATTAAACATTTTACGTGAGAATGTTGGATGAGAATATCCTGTGGTATTGATAACTTGAACAAATATTACATCGATTATGATATTGTAATTTTACAATCCTTTGGGAAATACTGTTCAAGATGTAAATCCCGACTTTCGATAAAATACGAATTATCTGTGTTTCTATCTTCGAATCTTTAGAAACGATACTTAATAATTTTACAAAATAATTTAATTTATTTCATTGAGCTAATTTAATAAACAAATACGACCCAATAGACTAGAGTCTTTTAAATCTGTTTCGTATGGAAGCTAGACGACATTTTTTTAGTTTGCTTATTTTATTTTATTGTTGAAAATTATTGCAAATATGTACGTTACGAGTAAAATTGCAAACATATTTGCAATATAAGAAGTGGCTGTATCGAATTCTGAATGAAATAAAAGACATCTAAAATGTGGGTCAGCGGTGACCCAGCCATCCGCAGTTCGAAGGTTAACTGTAATACTTATAAAACAGTAAGAAATCACAAGAATTTCCATAAATTATCCTACACATTCGTACATTTTAATCGTTACTTTTTAACACGTTACTGAATTGACGATATTTAATTTTGCCAATTTTTATTGCAGGTATATTAGGAAAATTTTAGTACGTTCGAGGTGAAGTGTTTATCTTTGGGAAAAGTTACGTTCGATTTCGAGACGCGCTCAGTTGCTAATTAACGTCAGAACGATTGTAATTCGAATTATGAAAGTTCACGTGGCATCCTGTTTTTAGCAGTAACGATAATTGTATCGGTGGTTTCTCACGATTCTTACCTCTGTACTGAGACGCGGCATGAAAGTGGTAAGATGCTCCGTCAAGGTCTTCATCAGCTTGAAGAGGACTTAGGCTTAAAAGTCTTGGCGCCTCGGCGTGGCCGCGAAACCAGCGCATTTCTGAAACGAGAAATTGGAGTTTTCGATACACTTTGGCTATCATTTTCTTGACAAAAAATTTAAAAATAAATAAATAACAAAATTTATGGTAATAAGTGACAATTACACTTTTAACATATCCCTAGTATACATCAGTACAGTAAATACTCTACAAGTGTCAGTTTGGATTCCACAAGTGTCAGTATAGATGGTCCTATGCCTAGATCTGCGTCATTGCTGCGCCTATGTTATCTCGCTCGCTGTCAGTCAAGAGTGTAACGCTACACCACTCGGTTTCACCGAGACCCACGTCCACCTTATCTTTTATTCGCTGTCCTTGTCTACGTTCGGCAAACTACAAAGGCGGGCTCGAGGCTGGAAAACGTAGTCCCTGACTCTACAAGTGTCAGGCTTAGATTCCTTGCGGACTGACACTTGTGGAGAATTTACTGTACTTGATTTTAATTTTCCACTATATGTATATAGAAAAGTATTAATTTTAAACCAACAATAGATTGACCACTAATAATAAAAATATATTTTCTTCGTTTTCTTAAATGCATATCGATACACTTTGGCTATCGCTTTCCTTGAAAATAACTTAAAAATAAACGACAGTGAAATTTATGGTAATAAGTGACAATTACACTTTTAACATACTCCTAATACACATCAGTACATATTTGATTATGTTTCATTTTTCACTATACTGTATGCAGAAAAATATTAATTTCAAACCAATAAATTGACCACTAATAATAAAACTACATTTTCTGGATCTTGTTACAAAAATGTGATTCTTAATTTTCTGAGAAGTATGAGAATTCATCTTCCTCCCCCCAAAAATTAATAAAAGAACCGTTAACTATTAACCACGTAATTCTCTACTCCAGTTATGGTGGTACGAGAAAATTTTTAAATATAAAATTTTAATATGAATTTTTTAATTTTTCAAATTCCATTTTTTTTCAAGGTAAGCCAAGTTTTTTTACACGAATGTGTATATATTTTCGTCTACTGCCTGCTGTACCAGCTAATATGAACTTGAAACGACTTTGGATTCTAAAATTTTAAATCAGCGTGAAACTTCCTTCCATTTTTTATCATTTCTCCTACCAAAAAAATTTTTCTTCCATCTTGTTCAACCTTTGAAGCCATTCAAATTACATATTCAAAAATTGTCTCGTACAACCATAGTTAGAAAAGATAATTAGGTGACCTAATTAACGTGTCCCACTCTATACATCCTCCATTTGACATTTCTCCTATATATCTCAATTTTCACTTAATCATTAAATACTGTCCCATTTACGATATCAGTAAAAATTCGAACAGCTGTATTTCATATACTCCATAAAATCGAAGAGACAATTAATTTATGTAGGAATGATTAACGAGGTCTCGTTAACGGAACAGAAAACCCTGGAAAGAATCTCCTTTTTACCGTTCAACTGTTACAAAATCACTTTAATTGCCGTACATGTTTTCTTCTTCTTCTCTTTCGATCTTACACAGCTTCCAAGGAGAGGTTGCACACGAATCGGGACAAATGCGAAACAACGACAGCCTCGGCCACTCGCAATAACGATAATCCATAAAAGTGAAACCGCTACACTTGCGGTGAATGGATTTCACGTGAACGAATGGTGACAGTTTCCGCTGTGATCGCTGAACCGAGGCCAATTCTCTCTACCTCTCAATTACATCTGTTCCTGATGCTGAATACGTCGTGAAAAATCAGTGATAAGTTTGCGTCGGACAACCTTGACGAGGAATGAAGGATGTTGTAAATTAGAAAACTTGAAGCGTTCGATTGACGAGGAACGACCGAGAGATCTGCTTCGTTGCAAGAAACACCAAACCTTCGAACGGTGAGGACCTTTTCTAGTATTGCCTTTGCACGATACAATTCAATTACAGGAATCTACTGATTGTGAGTGTTCTTTTTCTTGTAATTTTTTTGATTTTTCTTACAAAAGATATCAATTTCATATCAAGATATAAAAGGAATATTTATTTTCTTGAAATTCTCAAAATCTGATCTTACGATTGTTTCTTACGGTAGTTAACAAAAATATTAGAAAAAGGAGACAAAAACGATTGCACATGAATCGATAAATTTGGAGAAGGTTATTAAAATCGAAAATTCTAATTTGTAATATATTTTGCACGAGGAAAGAATTCGTTTTTAAAGTTTGCCTTTAGAACCTTATAAAAAATTCTTCCTTCAGGATATCACGTGCATGATAAATTTGAGATACGATTCTTAAATTGATAGTGGATTGATCACCTTTCATTTAGGATTGTATAAAATTTAAAATTAAATTCTATTATTAATCGTACCGATTTAACATTGACTAAATTAAAAATTTTCTTTGTCATCGCATTTTTTCTTTTTATTCTTTCTTTTATGCATCGAATTTTTTATTCCTTCAATGAAGACTGTGGTTCTGATCGGCGCATAATATCAGAGGATTATCTTACTCGCGTAAAATAGGAGCTTTTATTCTCGAATGAGGATACGTCAGTGGCTGACATCATCGTGAATGAGTAAAGCGATTGTGCTCGAAGGTTGGATTGGTACGTGACAAAAAATGTTGTATGAAGTTTCGATGTTCTTAGTACATTGTTTGATTTGATATTTTTATAGTTAGTTAATTATTAACGTGATCATAAAATTGCAACTTTTAGTTGACTGATAGTATTTTTTGTAATGAAATATTAAAAATGTACAATAGTAACTTTTAATTTACTGATAATATTTTTTCCAATGAAATATTGAAAATGTACACATTTCTGCAATGGAACCTATTGAAATGCAAATTCTAACATAGTTTGTACAATGAAGTATTAAAAATATACAAATTTCTGTAATGGAACCTATTGAAATGCAAATTCTGAAATAGTTTTTACAACGAAATATTGAAAATGTACATAGTTTTATAATGGAACCTATTGAAATGTAAATTCTAAAACAATGAGAAGATCGAAGAAGCTAATTTAAAAAAATTATCTTCAATTTCGTACCTTTTTTCAAGTTTATTCAACTCAACAAAGCAATTATTTGTTTATTTATTTATTTTGATTGTTAATCAACGGGTTTAAGAACCCTTTAGCATACAGGCGTTGAAATTCACACAGAGCAGCAGTATAACGTACAGTACAAAATAGAGAAGAAAATCAAAGAAGAGAAAAAGAAAAATGAATGAAATAAAAATAAAATAGAATAAAATGAGAATTATCTTCTGAACTCGTTAGATTCGCCATAATATTTTTACGTGTGAATTTGAAAAAATACGAAACACTAGGTTGGCAACACTTTCAGAAAAATAAACTCCTATATTTTACCATAAACTTCAATATATTTTCATAAATAAAGAAATAAGTTTTTATTAGACCAATTACAGCTTCTCCATTTTATTTAACCCCATCGTCAACCGTTTCCTCCTAATCATTCAGCATATGAAAAATATTAGCAACGCAGGGTCATATTTTATCAATGCAAAAGCACATGGCCGAACCCATTAACCTAACGGACTCGGTGCAAATTAATTAGTGAATAATATTAATTTTCTTCTGTCCGACTGAAATTAATTCTCGCATGTCAGGAGGCCTTGACTCTCGTTAAAACGGTTCACGCTGTGACGATTATACACGGTTGCATTAAAATTACGCAACATTACACAGCATCGTTATGTCATACATTCAGGTTGATTTGGAAATTCTTGATTTCATGAATGTACACGCTCACAAGCATTCCTTCTTTCCCCTCCTTTTCAGACGATATTATGTGAAATTTATAAAAAAAAAAGAAAATAATATATCGTGAAATGTGGTTAACAGAAAATAGATTTGTCGATAATTATAGAGTATAGTGGAGAATTTGAAGAAGAAGGGAATGGAAATGAATGGAAATGTGGGTGATTAAATGTACCATTTGAAACAATCAAGAGATTCTTTATTCTAGTAGCTCACTGTTAATTGAAACGCGTGACTAATGTTTGAAATTGTACTATGGGAGCTTAATAGTCATTAAGACAAATTTAAATTGGTATCATTTATAAAACGTACAAGACGAAAGTTCACTTATGTATGTACATTAATTTTCTGCATCGTACAAAAGTTATGACAGAAATTGATTGGTAAAAGAAAAGTTGCATAAGGTTCTTCCGGTAAAAAGTACGAAAATCACATTTAAAACTTTTCCAGGATTTATGGCGCTGCTATGTCATTGAAAATAATTAGCGAATCAGGCATCTAGGGATTGAAATAGACGTACTAACAATGAGAAGAAAGTTCATTTTGTTTTTTACGGAATCTGTGCATATTTCATGCAGCAAATTAATTTTTTACAATCACATTTTAATTTTTACCATCACACATCTACGAATTATCCACTTACGAACAATAAGGAGAAACTTCATTTTGTTTCCAACGGAAAAATGAATTAATTAATTAACAATAAGTAACAAATTAATTTTTTACGATCATATTTTAATTTTTACCATTACACAATCTACGAATTACACATATACGAACAATAAGAAGAAACTTCATTTTGTTTTTTACGAAATTTATGCGTATTTGTTGCGGCAAATTAATTTCTTACAATCTATTTTAATTTTTACCATCACACATCTACGAATTATCCACTTACGAAGAATAAGGAGAAACTTCATTTTGTTTCTAACAGAAAAGTTAATTAATTAATTAACAATAAGTAACAAATTAATTTTTTACGATCATATTTTAATTTTTACAATTACACAATCTACGAATTACACATATACGAACAATAAGAAGAAACTTCATTTTGTTTTTTACGGAATTTATGTGTATTTGTTGCGGCAAATTAATTTTTTACAAGCCATTTTAATTTCGAGCGTCAAACAATCTACGAATTATACATATACGCACAATAAGACGAGACTTCGTTTTGTTTTTTACGGAATTTATCCGTATTTGTTGCGGCAAATTAATTTCTTACAATCTATTTTAATTTTTAGAATCACACAATCT